ATATTATTCTTTAAACTTTTTTCTTTATCAATATTTCCATTTAATACTTGGCCGTTTATAAAGAAATTAAATTTAAAACCACAGAGAAGGTTGTTGCCCATACTATACATTTTTAACATATCTAATACAGGTTAGAATAAATAACTACCTTCAAAATAATATTAATGGGCAGGAACCCAGGCTTTTTAGCCACAACATTCCACTCAGACTACAGAATGATTACAGATAACCAGCAATACTGCAACTATAAGATACCTACTAGAGGATCAACCATAAGTATAAAGGACTGGCTTTTGTTTTTTGTGTCCTCATGATATACTTGCGGAGCTCTGGTGGCCTAGTGGCAAGAAGTTGAGCTGTAATCCTGAAGGCACATGATTCAAAGCCATCAGCTGCTTTATGGGAGAAGGACAGACAGTCTCCTCCCGTGCAATTAACTGCCTCTGCAAACCTGCCAGAGAGTCAGCTATGGGTCAGTTCTGACTCTGGTACACTACCACCACCACCACCATCGTATACTTAACATTATGTTGTTGTTACGTGCCATTGAGTTGCCTGCAACTCATAGAGACCTTATATACAACAGCCCTAAACCCTGCTCTATCCTGTGCCAATCTTACTGTCTCTGACACACCTACCCCTATTTCCCCAGTCACTGAATAAATCCATCTCATCCAGGTTCTTCCTCTCTCGCACTTTCCCTCCATCCTCCCAAGCATAATGTCCCTCTACAAGGACTGGTCCCTCCTTGCACCATGTCCAGAGTATATCAGATGAAGCTTCAGAATCCTTGCTTCCAAGGAGCAGCCTGGTGTCACCCTTTCTAGAATGTTCTTATTTGTTCTCCTAGCAGAGCACGGTATATTCAGTACTTTTCTCCTGCACAACAGCTAAAAGGCATCAATTCTCCTTTTATTGTTCCTAGTCATTGTCCAGTTTTCTGATGCATAGCAAGTGATTGCAAAAACCATGGCCTATATCAGGCACATCTTAATCTCCAGACTGACACCATTGCTCTTCAGGACTTTGGAGAGGTCTCTGACAGTAGACTTTCCTGATGCAATTCATCTTTTCTTTTCCTGGTTGCTGGTACCAAGAGTGTTAATTCTGGAGCCAAGCGAACTGAAGCTGTTAACAATCTCAATCTCTTCCCCATCTATCATGATGCTGCCAGTTGGCCCCGTGATTAGAATATTTTTCTTTTAAGAGTTATAATTAAATCTTTATTTAAGTCTCATGTACCAACTTAGTGTTTTCCACGAACTCGGGAAGCAGAAACTTTCACAGGCTTCACAATTTTTTGTTTAGGCGCTGCTTTTGTGGGAGCCTTATTAACAGCCATGGGTGGTCTTTTTAGATGCTTGTTTAGCCTTTTTTGCTTCCTTGGCAACCCTGATAGCCTGTTCTCGTTGAGCCTTTCTAACTTCAGTCTTTTGATTTGTCTTGGCCATTATATTAGCAAGAGATGCACCAGTGATGGCCCTTTGGAATTTGACTGCACAGCGGGTTCTTTTCTTTTTAATTTCTTCCGATTGGCCCTTTTTGTGCTTCCTTTTATAAAGGACAGTCCAATTTATCTGCCGTGGATTCCTTTTGGAAAGGAAAGCCAACACATTTTTTATTAAGAAACTTCCCGTCGGTCCTGGCATAGTGCCTCCCGTGTCTAGGGTAGATCTTGTACCTGCTGAAACTGCACTGGTTGACCTTCATGGCTGCAACTTCACGGGAACAGGGGAGATGACGAAGAACTGTTTTGTTATGTTTTTTTTTAATTTAATTTTTTTTCTACTAGTTTATTTACAAAATTCTAATACAAATTCAAACTAATTCTTTCAATTTCCCTCAACCCCTTCATCAAATTCTAAATCCCAATGATTAATCCCCACACCCCGTGCATATCCACATCTCTCTGCTTCTAGCCTCTCCTACCCATCCTGGATTCTTAGACTCATTCTACAATTAAGGTTTTATACAAATTTATCCTTGTGGGACTGAGTTAGTTCACTTAGCATAGTGCTCTCCAGTCCCTCCCAAGTTAGGTAATAATCTACAAAGTTATTGCTCCTGTGTGCTGCATAGTATTCCATTGTGTGAATGTACCATATTTTCTCAATTCATTCGTTTGTGGTTGGACATTTGGGCTGTTTCCATGTTCTTGCAATGGTGAATAATGCTGCTATGAACATTGGTGTACAAAAGAGTCTTTGTTTTCTTGATGTTTAGCTTCAATCCATATTGAAAGCTGCAGTCCTTGACCTTTCGCAGCAAGCGCTTCAGGTCTTCAGTTTCAGCAGTCAGGGTTGTATCGGCTGCATAACGCAAATTGTTGATGAGTCTTCCACCAATCCTGATGCCACATTTCTCCTCATAGAGCCCAGCCTCCCAGATAATCTGTTCTGCATAGATTGGAAAGGTATGAAAATAAGACACATTCCCGGAATACACTCTTCCCAATTTTGAACCATGCAGTGTTTCCTTGCTCTGTTCTGACAACTGCCTACTGGCCCAAGTATAGGCTTCACATAAGCACAATCAAGTTTTCTGCGATTCTCAGTTTTCTTAGAGTCAGTGTTGTGATCTACACAGTCAAATGCCTTTGAAAAATAGACAGTCCTCTGGTCCTCCTGCTTTCAGCCAAGATCCATCTAACATTAGCTATGATATCCCTGGAGCCACGGCCTCTTCTAAACTCAGCCTACACTCCAGGCAGTTCTATTGATATGCTGTTCCAGTCATTTTTGAATAATCTTTAGCAGAAGGGGTGGGTTAAGACATACATGTCAAGTGTGGGGACAACACTGAATCTATTGGTTATTTCTACAATTGGGAAATATCTTTCATCTTCTCTTTTCAGTAAAATCCTTCTCTGTCAGATAATGTTCTAAATCTGAGCGTTCAAACTAAGATAGTAGGAAGGATTGGCTATCCAGTTCCGAAATAGCAGGCCTTCGAAAACCCTATGTACAACAGAGTACCTTTAGACTAGCAGATGAGGCACCTGAGGCTGAGCCCACAAGTGTGGAAACATAAAAGAGGAAGAACAGCTGTAAGCAGACACTAATGATTGGTGCATGGAATGTGAGAAACATACATAGCAGTATGTGTTGTTGTTGATTGCCTTTGAGTTTAGCACAACTGGTAGCAACCCTGTGAACAAAAGTCCTGAAGCCTTTCTATAAGTAGCAACATTTATCAAAGTTTGTAAGAATTTCTGGAGTCATGTTGTTTGGGAAGTGGATGCCACTCCTGCTTCCAAACATAACAGTATATTTTATATAAAAAAGTGAATACTATTTTTAAGTCTTTAAACTGTTGCCTTTGACATTTGTCATTGTTCTTTATCTTTGCTTTCTTAGTTACAAATGCTTTTTAAATTTAAGTGGAAGTTTACAAATCATTTCCCCCCATTTTATTAAATCATTAACATTTTGTTTTGTAACATTACATTTAGCTATGTTTCTTTTCGCCTTTTTTTCCCACCTTATTCATTTTGACTGCCCTTTCCCTCCTATTTCATCTCTAGTATGTGGTGTGTGATGTGTAGCGTAGAGTCAGAACCGACCCATAGCTGCCCCCTGTTGGGTTTTCAGAGGCAGTTACTGCAAAGGAGAAAATTGCCCATCCTGCAGGGCTGTTGGTGGCCTCGAACCTCGTACCTTTGGGATTTCAGCACAGCTTCTTGCCACTAGGCCACCAGAGTTCTAGCAGTGCCTTTTTCATTCCCTGATGACTTATATTTCGTATTTTATAGATTGGCCAGAGTTACGCTGCTAGCCCAGAGACAGGCAGTTTGAATCCACCAACTGCTCTGTGGAAGTACAATGAGCAGTCTCCCCTCATGTGATTTATAGCCTCTGAAAACCCACTAAGGCTTAGCTAGGAGTTGGTTCCAACTCTTGCAGCACATAACACCACCACCAACCTCCTACGGTCTTTATTTTTAAATAATCTCTTATTGACATCTAACAGTATTAAGGAGCTAAAATAAAATGTTCTAATGTGAAGATAAAAGAAGTGGTTGTTTTTTATTGCATACACATAGGCAGACAAATTAATAGTCCCTACAAAGCCTATAAAAAGTTTCATTACTTCAGTGGGTAAAGGGTGGGCAGGGAGAAAAGTGTAGCAATGAGTGACTTGAAACCCTAAGTCTCTGTAAACTTTCATGAAAATTAATAAAAAAGGCTTCATTACTTCCGAACTATAAATACGTTTTCCACCTTATCATTAAAGAAGTTCTCTGTGTTAACTTTAAGAAATTATCTTTTTTCCTTCAATAGCTCTGAATTTTTTAAAGAAGATGGATCTTTAAAAGAGGTACATAAGATAAATGAAATGTATGGTACATTACAACAGGAATTAAAGGTAAGTTAAGATACTAACCATTTAAAGTCATTTCTAGAGTTCATTCACATCAGATTTGTAACTGTAATTTTTGAGGATAAACTCAACTTTTGGGGTTTTTTTCCAACTTTTTTTTTTAACTCATGTTTTTGTCAGATTTTTATTCTTTAATTATACCTCTCAATTACTGGCATAATTAAGTTTCAAAGACTAAGTTATTAGGTGAAAATTTTTGTTATTTTAAAATGGAGGATGACTGTTATCAATACATAACTGCCATACCACTGAGAATTTCAATCAAGTTCAGTCAACATTACTTCTTGTCTTGTATCTTGATGTTTACTATTGCTAAATATATATTGTTAATACAAAAAATAGATGATAGATTTTTTACTGTTGCTGTTATGTGCCGTTGAGTTGCTTGCATCTAGTGATCCTCTGCACAATGGCTCTGCAGCCTGCCCTGTCCTGAGCCAATCTCACTGCCTCTGTCACTCCATTACTCGAGTTACCGTTTGCCAATTCATCTCATCCAAGGTCTTCCTCACCCTTCCAAACACGATGTCCTTCTCCAGGCCCAGAATGTGAGACAGAGCCTCAAAATCCTTACCTCTAAGTAGCAGCTTGGCTTCACCCTCTCTGGGACAGACCTGTTTGTTCTTTTGGCAGTTCATGGTATGGTCAGTCTTCTCCAGCACCACAACTCAAAGGCCTCAGTATTTCTATCATCCTTAGTTATTGTCCAGCACTCTGATCGATGGCAAGTAATTGCTAAAACCCTGGCTTGGATCAGGTGCCTTGGTCAGTAGACTGACATTGTTGCTCTTTAGTACTCTGGAGAGGTCCTTGATAGCAGATTTTCCTAATGTAGTTCGTCCTTTGATTTTCTGACTGGTGCCAAGAGTGTTGATTGTGGAACCGAGCAAGCTAAAATGGTTTATAATCTCAATCTCTTCTCCATTTGTCATGGTGCTGACAGTTGTTGCACTGGTTAGAATCTTTGTTTTCTTGATGTTGAGCTTCAATCCATATTGAGGACTACATTCCTTGATTTCTGTAGCAAATTCTTCAGGTCTCTCTCTGCTTCAGCATCCAAGGCTATGTCATCTATGTAACACAGGTTGTTGATGAGTCTCCCTTCAATTCTGATGCTACATTACTCAAAGTCCAGCCTACCAAATGATATGCTTCACATATAGATTGAAAAGGTATAATTAAAATAAAAAAAAACATTAAGAAAGAAAAGTTATGGAGACAGGACGCATCCCTGCAGCTTCAAGGTCTAAGTACAAGTTTTGCATGAGCATAGTCAAGTGTTCTGGGATTCCCATTCTCCTCAAGGTTAGCCACAATTTGTTGTGACCCACACAGTCAAATGCCCTTGCATAGTGAATGAAACACAGATAGACATTCCTTTGGTACTCTCTGCTTTTGGCTAGGATCTATCTGATACTGGCTCTGAGGTTCCTAGTGCCAGGACCTCTTCTGAACCCAGCTTATAGTTTTCTATTTCTGGTAGTTCTGTCAATTTAATGTTCCATTTGTTTGTTATAAATGTGACATAAGGAAGAGTATGTAAAGTTTACAATTCTGCAGTAAACAAAGATTCTATCCTTTCAGTGTCTTAAAGATGAAAAAGATTTATTCTTAAATATTGATTGGATCTAGGCTTCTGCTCCAGATGTTATCTTCAGTTGAGGACTTAGACCACAGGAACAGTCTTTGTCTTGAATATGATATTCTCATAACAAAAGGAAGAGCAGGAAGGCAAGTGGAAATTCACAAGAGGTCTTAAAACATGCTTGGGAATGGCATATCCCTTCATTAACCAGAGAAGTAAGCATGAGGTATATGTTTTGAAACTATAAGGAGTGATCATATTCCACCAACGCATTAAGTTCTAAATTCACAGTCATTTTGGGTCCTTTAAGCAGTATACATCAGAACAAGGTTAGATATACAAAAGCCTAATTTAGCCTGGGAAAGCTACAGAGTAGGTAGGCAAGGAATACCTTCAGACTACATTGTAAATCTACCATTTGAGGAAGGAGATGAGAATGACTGAGTAGGGAAACTTTCAGTCTCCAGTGCTAATCTAAGACATTTGACCTAAGACAGTGAGGCATTGTTGAAATTTTAGTTGCTGATTAGAGGAATTCTCGGTCCTGCAATAGTAGGCTTGAACTACTACCCGTCTTCTGCTAAGTCATTGGTAAGGAGCAGCTTAGAGGAACCGTGACCTGTGCACAAACACGATATGATGGTATCTCAAGGGGGTAGCACCTGGGGTTAGCACCTGAAGCTGTGAGTGAACTATACTCTCCCAACAGAAGATTTAGAGTCTATTTCTATGGACAACATCTCATAAAAACATTAAAAAGGGTTTTATACACTTCTAATACTACACTACAACAAACCAAATAAGTACGTCTAGGAGAAGGTATAGCCAGGTTGTTAGAGAAGGATGATGAAACTCCATCTCACATATTTTGGGCATGTAATTACAAGAGGCCAGTCCTTGGAAAGGACATCATACTTGGAAAGGTGGAGAGTAAAAAAGAGGAAGACCATCAACAAGATAGATTAACAAAGTAGCTGGATCAATAGGCTAGAGTATACAAGTGATAGTGCAGGATATAGTAGGGGATAGTGCAGGATATAGTAGGGTTCAGGTCAGCTGTTCATAGGGTCACTATGAATCATGGTCAATTTGATGGCACCTAACATCAATAATACTACTACACTATACTACCTATACTATATCTATATTACTTATACTATACAACAATCTCCGATATGCAGATGATACAACCCTACTTGCTGAAACTGAGGAGGACCTGAAGCACCTGCTGCAGAGGGTCAAAGTACTGCAGCCTCCAATATGGACTGAGGCTCAATGTCAAGAAGACAAAGATTCTCACCACTGGGCCAATTGTTCACAGCTTTAGTTTGCTTGGCTCCACAGTCAACACTCTTGGCATCAGTAGCCAGGAAATTAAAAGACATATTGCGATGGGAGTCTGCTGTTAGGGACCTCTCCAAAGTACTGAAGAGCAATGGTGTCTCTCTGGAGACTAAGGGCGTCTGATACAGGCCATGGTCTTTGCTATCACTTGTTAGACATCAGAGAGTTGGACAGTTACTTAGGAGGATCGAAGGAGAATTGATGCCTTTGAGCTGTGATGCTGGAGAAGAGTATTGAGAATACCATGGACTGCTAGGAAAACAAACAGATTTGTCCTGGAAAGGGTTAAATCGGGTGGCTCCTTGGAGGCAAGGATTCTGAGGCTCCGTCTAACATACTTTGGACATGTTGTAAGGAGGGACTGGTCCTTAGAGAGGGACATCATTCTTGGTAGGGTGGAGGGACAGCGCAGGAGGGGAAGGCCCTCTATGAGGTGGACTGATTCAGTGACTGGGGTAATCGGGATGGGTGTATCGGAGATGGTGCGATTGGCACAGGATAGAGCAGGGTTTATAGGGTCGTTATGAGTCGCAAGCAACTCAATGGCACATAAGAACAACAACATACTACCTCCCGTATAACAGCTGGTGGGTTCATATCATTACTTAAAAAATTCTTAAAGACACAGTTATAGGAACTTGAAAAGACAGGGTGTTAATAGGCATAGAGTAATGTTAATTAATTATGTAAAACAGAATGTATATGAATAAATGTATAAAACACTATACATTAAAACCAACTATAGTTACAAAACATGATATGTATGAATGATTATATAAAAACCAGTAAAAAATATTAAAAATAGACAGTTGTGAGTAGATCTTAGTTATAACCTGGAGACTGCTTACATATCTTTATAGGGTTGACAATCATGGGGCCATATATATTCGTAACATTTTTTACACCAAACACTTTCATGTTGCTAATGTTATGTATTAATGATAATGGGTAATTGGAAGGCAAAAGTTGGGAAACAGGAAGAAGGATCAGTAGTCAGAAAATATGGACTTGGTGATAGAAATGAGGCTGGGGACAGAGTAATAGAATTTTTATACAATGAATGATTTATTCATAGCAAATAGCTTGTGTAAGAAACATAAAACACAGGCTATACATAAGGGTTTCACCTGATGGGATGCACAGGAATCAGATCAATTACATCTGTAGAAGGAATTGGAGAAGTTTAATATCAGAAAAAGTGAAAAGCCAGGTGCTGATTGTGGAACAGACCATCACCTACTCATATGCAAGTTCAAATTAAAGCTAAAGAAGGTTAAATCGTATCCATCCACAGGAACCAGAATTTGATCTTGATTCTGTCTCCCATGAATTTAAAAACCAACTCAGGAATAGGTTTGAAACCGTGAACCCTAATGAATGAAGACCAGATGAGCTGTAGGAAGAAATAAAGTATATCATTCATAAAGAATACAAGAAGTAATTACAAAGAAGGAAGAAAAGACCAAAATGGATGTCAGAAGAGACTGAATATTGCACTAGGACATCAAGAAGCCAAAGCAAAGGGAAGAAATCAAGAAATTAAGGAGATGAATAGAAGATTTCAAAGGGCAGCTCAGGAAGAAAAGGCAAAATGTTACAATGAAATGTGCAAAGAACTGGAGTCAGAAAATCCAAAGGGCCTAACTTGCTCAGCATTTCTTAAACTGAAGGAACCAAACAAATTCTAGCTATGAGTTGCAATGCTTAAGGATGCTACGGGCAGAATATTGAATGATTCAGGAAGCATTAAAAGAAGATAGAAGGCATATACAGATTCACTGTACCAGAAAGAAGTGGCTAACACAGATGAGTTTCAAGGAATGACATGATCAATAGGCAGTGGTAATGAAAGAGGAAGTTCATGCTACTCTGAAGGACTTAGCAAAAAAATAAAGCTCCAGGAAGTGATAGAATACCAATTGACGTATTTCAACAACAGATGCTGCCATCCAGCTGCTCACCAAGTTGTGCCAAGAAATCTAGAAGACATCTACTTGGCCAACTAACTGGAAGAGATACATATTTATTCCCATTTCAAAAAAAGGTGACCCCACATAGTGTGGAAATTATAGATCACTAATACACACTAGCAAAATCCTGCTGAAGATCATCTAGAAATGACTGGAACAGTACATTGACAAAACCAACACAGATACAAGATGGGTTTAGAAGTAGTGGCACTAGAGATATTATTGCCAACGTCAGATGGATCTTGGCAGAAAGCAAAGAGTACCAGAGGATTGTCTGTGTTTGATTGTTTTGCAAAGGCATTGACTGTGGATCACAACAAATTGTGGCTAACCTTGAGGGAAATGGGGATCCCAGAACACTTGATTGTGCTCAAATATGCACCAGGAAGCAGTCCTCAGAATAGAGCAGGGAAATATTGCATTGTTCAAAATCAGGAAAGGAGGGTGTCAGGGATGCATCCTGTCTCCATACCTTTTCATATGCAGAACAGATCATTCAGGAAGCAGGGCTTTTTCTGGGGAATGTGGCATCAGGATTGGAGGTAGACTCATCAGCAACATAAACAATTTGCAGATGCCACAACCTTGCTTGCTGAAACTGAAAAAGACCTGAAGTGCTTGCTGCAGAAGGTCAAGGACCGTAGTCTTCAATGTGGATTGAAGCTTAACATCAAGAAGACAAAGATTCTCACAACTGGGCCAGTTGGCAGTACCACAGTAGATGGAGAAGAGATTGAGGTTGTTAACAATTACAGCTAACTCAGCTCCATAATTAACACTGTCAATACCAGCAGCCAGGAAATCAAAAGACAATTTGCATTAGGAAAATCTGCTGTCTGGGACCTCTCTGGAGTGCTGAAAAGCAACGATGTCAGTCAGTAGAGACTAAGGTGTGCTGAGTCTAGGCCATGGTCTTTGCAATGACTTGCTGTGCATCAGAGAGCTGGACAATGACTAATGATGACAGAAGAAGAATCGATGCCTTTGTATTGTGGTGCTGGAGAAGTAGTCTTAAAATACTTGCTGTGCATTTCACAAGCTGAGAGAACTGAAAAACAAATTGAAGCCTCAAGTTGCAGTAGTCAGGAAATCAGGATACTGCACAGGGAAAGACTGCAGTTAGGGAACCTCTCCAAATTATTCAGGAGTAATACTTAAGTTTGAGGACAAAGCTGCGTCTGATTCAGGCTATATTCTTTCCAGTTACTTGCCATGCATCTAAGAGCTGGACAGTGAATAAGGATGACAGAACTCATGCCTTTGAGCTGTGGTGTTGAAGAGTACTAAACATCCCATGGATGGCCAAGAGAACAAATATATCTTGGAGAGAGTGCAGAGTGCTTTTTGGAGGCAAAGATAAGGCTTTGCCTCCTATGCTTTTGGGTATGTTGCTTAGGTTGAGAGGGTCCCTTGGAGAGGGACATGATGTTTAGAAAGGCAGAGTGTCAGCAAAGGAGAGGACGACCCTCAACCAGATGATTTGACAGTGATTGCCCCAAAGGGCTCTAATGTATCAGGTAATGTGAAAATGGCATAGCATAGAACGGGGTTCAGGTCTGTTCATAGGGTTGCTATGGTTCATACTCAGTAACACTTAAAAAAAGCCATCAGTTGGGACCAAGCTGATCCTCTAGTGAGTTTTCACAGGCAGTAAACTGCATAGTTGACTGTTCATCTTTCTCCCATGTTGCTGCTGGCAGATTTGTACCACGTTTTGGGTTGACAGTGCAAAAGGATAGGAAAGGTGGAGGGGGTGAGCAAGAGAGGAAGACCCTCAATTAGATGGATAGACTTGGTGACTGCAGCAGTCGGCTTAAGTGTGTCAGATGCTGAGGATAGCACAGATAGGATAGGGTTCAGGTCTTTTACTCATAGGATGGATAGGTGTTGCACTCTAATCAAGTGGCACCTGATGACTTGATGGAACAAAGGCAGGCCCTCACCCTCCCAACCTTGGCCCATGCCCTGTTCAGGCAAGTGTTACAGAACTCTGTTTGCTATGCACATGTTAAGTGCCAGCAGCCCCTCACTCTACCAGTAACCAAGGCCCTAAAGTATCTAGCTCTCTGGATGGCAAACCTAGTTCCCCAACCAATTCCCAGTGTCACTTCTCCACCAGTAAGCCTCCTCCAAAAGCACTCAGTTGTCTCATTATATAGGAGGGATCCCAGAGCTCTGTCCTACATGCTCTTGGAATCATACCACTCTTGCACCATCTCTGCTGTTGTACAGCCCATCGCCTGGACCAAAACCATTTCAGTACAAGTATGACACTGCATTTATGCTTTCTAGACAGTAGTGAAATCCCTGTTTTCTATTTATAGGGTGGCTTACGCCTCATGGAATGGCACAATTGACAAGTCCCCACAGTATCAACTTAATACACCTTTATAGTGCATGAGTGGGCTCCAAAGGTGCCATTACCAGTACTTCAAAATTGGTAGCACATAAGGCAAGACTGCTTCCAAAAAAAATGTTTTTCTCTTACAAGAATTAACATCTTCAGGAGTTTGTTTTCATAACAGTATAAAACAATTTATTTCCATTTATTGTCAGTTTCTTAACATAGGCAGCACCTATGCATCTTTCTCACTATAATGTTGTTGATTGCTGTCGAGTCAAGCACAACTCATAGTGATCCTATGAACAAAAGACCTTGAAGCCTTTCTATAACTATCGTCGTTTCTCCAAGTTCATAGTTTCCAGAGGCATTAGTATTGAAATACTTCATAGCCCTCAGGTGCAAGGATTTTGAAAATTACTACCTGAGAGAGAATTATGCTGAATTAATTCAGTCCCATGATGACAATTACTGTATGAGATCATTATTGTAGCAGTAAAAAGATAAGAGCATGAGGATTCAAGTGGGAGGGCAGGATCAGAGGCATGAGGATGGGCAGGGGGATGTCATAGGATTGCACAGTTTGATGGATGGAGCGGAGGAATAGGTCAAGGAAATGGCGAAGATCAGACGAGGATCTGGAAAGACAGAGCAATGGTGGGCACTGTTCATTGTTGGTTGATTTTATAAAATACAGTGATTGGAATGATTATATGAAACAATGTAAACAAAAGATAGTGTGAAACAATGTATAAGAATTTTGTAAGCAAGCCAGTTGTTGTTATGTGCCCTCCAGTCGTTTGCAACTCGTAGAGACCCTATACACAACAGCCCTAAACCCTGCTCTATCCTGTGCCAACCGCACTGCCTCTGACACACCCATCCCGATTACCCCAGTCAGCGAATCAATCCATCTCAGAGGGTCTTCCCCTCCTGCGCCGTCCCTCCACCCTCCCTAGCATAATCAATATAAAAGAAAAAAGAGTGCCATTATTTTTTGTTATAAAGTGAATTAAATGTTGCTTCAGGCTTTTTTTCTGTGAATTGTCAAGGAAATAGCTGGTATAATTAAGATATGCATAAAAGAAACATCAGAAAACTTTGACATAGCCCACTGCTATTACCTTAATATCAACTTATAACCACCCTTCATCTGGTTTTGGGGGCTATAAATCTTTATGAGACATGAACACGCTTTTCCCCTTGCCCCTCTATAATATATAAAACACCACACAAATGCTCATTTTGCTTAGTGAAGTACAATTTATATTATGTTCATCTCGACTGTCTATATAACTTGAAGTTTTATCTGTACCCTTATTTTACTTTGCAGAATGTATGCAAAAAAGTGGAACACAGTGAGAGAGCAGTAGAGAAACTACTAGAAGATGTGCACAGATTAAAACAAGAAATTAAAAAAAGAAAACAAGCACAGACCCAAGTGGCAGGTACTAAATAACACATCAATGTCAGTATTTTGCATGTTAAAGATGGATGGCCTCCTTCTATTGACAGCCTCAGAAACCTGGGGGAGTGTTGCTATTGTGAGAAACAACTTGATAGAGTTTGGGTTTTGGATGTCATTGATAGTAAAGAGTACAACTTTAATTTTCTCCTAAAATATTATGTAACTTCACAAAATTTTGACTGAAACAAAAATATGAATATAGTACAAAACATTATTACTAAAAAATAATAATTTGGGATTACACATTGCATTTTTTTGTACTGTAAAGAATGATATTATTTCATTAAAATCTTTCTTCAATTTACTAACAGCTAGTTAATTATAAAAATGTATGCAACAAATAATGTCTGTTGAACTCCTACTTTATTTTATTTAGGAGAGAAGAATGTCCCAGAAGAACCTCAGGAGAACCCTTTTCTTTGTCAAGCTTTACGAACTATATTTCCAGAAACTGAAATTCTTCATTCATGTACTATCTCTCTCAAAAATAAGCACATTTCTAAAAGCTGCTGTAACACCAACCACCATGTTGATATGGTAGACAAACTTACCTTAATGGTAGAATACACGGACATTCCAGAAGCTACTCAAGCCTCTCCACAGCAAATAACTAAACGTAAAGCATTAAATGTGGATGATGCAGGGCAGTTCAAGAAATCACGGTTGCGTGGGATACTAAACAAACATTGTAAAACAGATACTGACCATAGTAAGCAAGAAAAAGCATCCACCATGAGTAGTTCAGAAACAGATGAAGACATTGAGAAGGACTGTTGTGAATATCCACAGTCTCCTACATTTTAATCCTTTTAGGTCAAAGATTTTTGATTGGCTGAAGGGTAAAGCCATGCATTCCTACTGTTCGGAGGATTGTTTATGTTGTGTTGTTTACAGTGATGCATTGATAAATTCTGACGCATGTATTTATACAGTTCTTTTTAAAATACCAGATACTCCTATTTTAAAATAATTTTTTCCCATAACTAAAAAAAAATGAGGGAATGACTTAAATATTCTCCTAAATTTGTACAAGCTATTAATAACACTTTCATAATGTGAAAAGATGTAAATATAAACATTTATTTTTATCTAAGTCATTAAAGTTATTTCTTAAATGATGATAAATAAGACAACGTGATTAAGCGTTAGATGACACACTGAACACCATTTAATATTTGTGACCTACTTAAACTCAAAAAATGCCATGTTTCAACTTCTTATTTTTGTATATTGTCAAAGACATAACTGATAAAGCTATTTAAAAATGAGAATGAGTAATGAAAGTTTTTTGTTAAATAACCACTACTGTCCAGTCAGTTCCAACTCATGGGGACCATCCAGCTGGTTTCTGAGGCTCTAAATTTTTAAAGGGAATAGACTACTCATCTTTCTCAGTGGATGCTGGATTTGAACTGCCAAACTTTCGGTGAGCATTATGCACTACATCACTAAGGTTCCTTTAATGCCAGTAAATTTTTCATCACAAACATGTTTCCTTGCTACATATGCAATACTTAAATCACTGAAAGCACTTTGAGTCTTTGCACTAAAGGTTAAATAAGAAAGCACTTGTTCTGACTTACTTATAAATTCCTAAAAGACATACCTAGCATCAGATCTCATTCATAACTTTGGGGCTACCTGTATAAGTAAATGTAAATGTCACTGTTATACACAGGCAAGATGAAGAAAAGTATTCTTAGTCCGAGCCCTAATTTTAAGAGGACTGTAAACATCACTGGAGCATATAGAACTTATCACAGATGATGACAGAAATGCAACTAATAAATCAACAAAATGAAGTGTTGAGGCTGCAGAGATGAGGACAGAAGCAACCATCAACAAAATTTGCAAACATCAAGAGGCTTGAAAGACTGCTGATACACACTTGTTCAAACTCTGAAAACAGGTCTTCATAAAAAGGTTAAATTATAAAATGCTATTAAAAACTCAAACTCATTGCTTTGAAGTTGGTTCTGACTTACAGTGAGTCTCCTCTGGGTTTCCAAGCCAGACTATAACAAGACTGCCAATCCTTCTCCTTCAGATCAGCTGGGGGATTCAACACACAGCTGATGGGATAGCAGTGCAACTTAAGGAAAGTAACTGCCATAGCTCCTTTATAAAATGCTATGGAGCTGTGGAGGTACCGAGCTCACACTCTGCATAATGATCTATTAAGTAGCTTTCAAGGAGTTGGGGAAAACCCACTAGAGGGTCAGCTATGTGCTGACTTAGTGGCACATAACAAGAAATAAGCATTCATAGACAACTGAGGTTCTCTAAACCCTATTATCCAGTGAATCACCCCCTCAAAGAGCGTTAAGTTTTTATTTTTTGGTGCTTCTGTTATTTTATTTTTTCTGATAAACTCTTGCCCTTTTGGCAATTAACCTTGTTTTACTAAAGTATCTGGCAAACCAAAGGTACATGGTTTTGACACCACCAGCTGCTCCTCAGGGAAAAGATAAGCAATCTCTTCCCATTTATTTACAGCCTTTTAACTCTGGGCTGTCATCTATGAGCTGGTTCTGATTAAACAGCAATAAGAATGATTGGAGCATAGACTAGCCCAAGAAAAAATATTATGTCCTGTGACAGCACCACTAACTAACTCTAAGAAACACTGTTAGAAAGACCCACCCTTCTATCAAGTCAGATGTGCTAGTGTAGAGAATCATTTTGAGCAGTCAAACTCCATTAGCTCTGTGTGTGTGTGTTAGCATCCGACCTTTCTGCAACTATTTTCTGCTTTCTATTTACAAGAATAAATGGATATTCTTGTAAATATCCATTTATTTACCAGACTCCAACACAAGCAACAGTACCCATATTTACTGTAAATATCATTGCTATTACCACATTATTATATAAGCTATTTGAAGGCCACACATGTGACACCAAATGGTATCAACTGATTTAAGATGTGTAAAATGTAACAAGCACACTTTAGAAAAGATGTGCTTTCTTTAATGATCATTAGCCTGTATAAAAGGGAAGCGTCATTTAAGCTGTCTTGAAACATTTTATTTTCCCCTGTAAGATTTTAGAGTTCTTCACCCAGAAATTCTTAATAAAATGTAGTACAGTAACAAGGTTGACCCCTTAACTTTAAATAGTTAAAAGTTTATAATTTGACTCCATATTGGTGGTGACACAATCATTTTATTGGTCTTACATAATTTATTCCCGATATCTGATATTACAAACTTTTGGATCTTTGAGATACGCAGGATCCTTGTATGTAACTGACATAAATCCTGTTAAAAAAAAAAAAAAAAGTTAATCGCAAAAGTTCATATACAACATTTTAATTAGCCCAATTCAGTTTTTCAGATATTCTCACCCAGTTTTTGAGATCTCTTAATTGCTTTTGTGATTTCTTTTTGTTTCTTCCCACAAAGACCTATAAAAGAAAAAACTGAATACTTAATCATAAGAAAATACTAATATTCATAATTTCTGACTAGTTAAGAGTTAGCAAACTTTCCATAAAGGGCTAGACAATATTTTAGACTTGGTTGACCATACAATCTGTCACAACTATTCCCCTCTGCTATTGTAGCTTAGAAGCAGTAATAGACACTTCTTTACATTAAATAAAACTATCGATGGAACCTAACAACAACAACATTGACAAAAATAAAACTGATTGGTTACATTTTGCCAATAGGCCATAGTTTGCAAACAGCTAGTTTAATAGTCTTTAAGAGTGAGAAGAACCCACTGTTCTGCATTCAAGTCTGACTCATACCAACTATCCATCAGCTATGCATCTTTACAGAAGACTAACAGCACATCTCAAAACATCAAGCATACAATTTCTAAAGCTCAAGGTTTTGCATGTTATCAGCCTAGTTGTCTCTGAGCATAACACAAATGCAAAACAAAAGTTACCTACTAGCTTACAAAGTATTTCGCTAACCACCTAAAAATCGGTCCCTGAGTGAGTTTTCTTTTAAAATAAAATTTATTTTACTGGTTTTTTTTTACTTGTGATTTTAACAAAAGTTTACAGACAGGTTTGATTATCAATTTTTTGTTGCACATTTTTAGTCACTCTCCCTCCCTTTTCCCCTGTTCCAGTTCACTTTTTTTTTTAAAAAAAACAACATTCATTGTTAAACAATTACCTTCCTCCCACCCTAGTCCCTGAGTATATAAAACTCTGCTATTAAATGATTAGACTTTTAGAATTTTTATGAAAATATAAATTACTGCAATAAAAAGCAAAATACCTGTTATGTGCCTTCCATATATGCATCCAGTAAATGGAGAAATAAACTGGGACAAAAGCTGGGTTTTAATTTGGAGAGAAAAATATTTATTAGTATAGTATACTCTAAAAGAGTATAGTGAACTTCATGGATCATCTTCAAGTTATATAAAGACATTAGTAAATTAAAAAAAAAAAATCCTAAAGAACTACCCCAGAATATCTGAGGCTGTAAATCTTTATGGAAGCAAACCGGTAACATGTTCTGGAGCAGCTGATAGGTTCAAAGTGCTGACCTTTTTGTTAGTGGACAAGCTTTAACAATATGAGTAAGAATGTTTTTTTAGCTCACCCTACTAAGTCAGTAATCTTAAAATGATGATTCAACTGAAGTTAACATCTTTTTTTATCCAGCCTTCACAAAGTCTATGCAAAAAAGCAACAATGATTTATCAGCATATTCTTTCAGCACTAAAGCTGTTCTCTTCACTTTCCCAGAGACAGCTTTCAAATAATGCTGCTTCTAACAAGGTATATCATTTCACCAACCATGATAATTATATTGTATAATCAAGAAGAGGAGTTATTGCAGAAAAGTACTCAAGAGGTTTTTAAAGCACATGGAGGCATTCCTATAATCTATGTCTTACTAACTTCCTTAGCATTGCTTCTGGCACTTTACATGTTAATACGGTGTGATGTCCAGTTGGGACAGACTGAGTGATGCTGTGTACAACAGAATAAAACATTACCCAGTCCTGCAACACTTGCCCCACTGTTAATGTATTGAGGCCACTGTTGCTGCCAATGTGTCAATCCATCTCATTGAGGTTCTTTTTTGATGATCCTCTACCAAACAACAGTCTTCACGGATTGTCCCTTTCATATGGGAGATAAAGTCAAACCGTCCTCAATGCTGGCTACCTTTACAACACAGATTTGCTTGTTCTCTTGGTAGTACTTCACAGTCAATATTCTTCACTGGCACAACAATTCAGAGGCACCAGTTCTTTAATCTTCTGTGTTCATTGTCCAGTTTTCATATGTGGAGGCGAATGAACATGCAATGCTTTGGATTCAGTGCACTTCAGTCCTCAAAGTGACAATCCTTGCTTTTTTTTTTTT